ACACATATGCATACACACGCTCACTCATACAAACACACAGGCACACACACACACATATGCACACACACACACACACACACACACACACACACACACACACACACACACACACGTGCATACACACACGCACACGCGCATTACACACACACACACACACACACACGTGCATACACACGCACTCATTCACACACACACACACACACATACACACACACACATATACATACATACATATATATATATATATATATATATATATATATATATATATATATATATATATATATATATATATATATATATATATATATATATATATATATATATATATATATATATATATACACACACACATTCATGCATATTTTGGAAAAGACATAAAACTAAAGAATATGCAAAGCTATCTTCATAATCCTCAATCTTTTTCTATACATACACACAACAATTACTCATAATCATTTTTCTTGGGTGCCATCTATATTAAAGTTTGATAAGGTTTAATTTAGGATTTGTACAATCAATTGGGTTGAGATTACTTTGGGAGTTTCATTGATAAAACCAATTAGGGTTTTCCTCCAAGACCAATTGTGATTTGGGGAGTTTTTGGCACGAGATTTTGCAACTAGGATTCAACCGAGTAAAAGCTTTGAAGAAAGGGGTTTCTGTCAAAGAAGCAGCGTAACCAGATGATCAAATTGAAAATCTTTGGACACTTGATCTTGTTTAAGATCAAGGAAAGAGAAGAAGATAGAATCAACATCAAATTTGGAAATTGGGGGCTTGAATTTCTATTTGTCTCTTGAATTCAACATTTTGCAAAGATTATTTTGGAATTAGGGGCAGACGTATCCATAGTGAGGGCAATTGGGAAACTGTCTAAACAAATCTTTTGTATTCTCTCTCTCTCTCTCTCTCTCTCTCTCTCTCTCTCTCTCTATATATATATATATATATATATATATATATATATATATATATATATATATATATATATATATATATATATATATATATATATATATATATATATATATATATATATATATATATATATATATATATATATATATATATATATATATATATATATCGCTCTGTTTTTCATAAGTTGATTATGTACTAAAGTCGGAAAATTTCATGCATTAAAGAAGAAAGTTTTCCACCTTTTCTTTACAACTTGTGAACTCATTTAGTGTGCAAACTTCATATATTAATAATTCCTTTGATGTTGAAAAGTTTCAAACTGTTTTTAGTAAGGTAATTGCAATCTATAAAATTACAATTGGATATTCACATCAACAACACAAAGGAAAAATAAGCTTGGTGTTTATTGCACACCAAATACTTGACAAATTGTTATAGTTAATTTTTGTTTCTTAATTTCATTGGAAATTGATTATTTATGTGCAAAATTGTTCAAATGTTATTTTGAAAAACTTATTGATTTGTTTTCTCATCATTGTAGCACATTTATTTCATTTAATTACGGTTTAATATGCATGTCTGGTTCTTCCTATAAAGGTTTGGGATAGACGAGTGTTGATCCGAAACCGCTTTCACTTGTCATATAAAATATTTTTAAAACTAATTTTTTAATCAAATTTATTTGCTATCTATTCACCCCCTTTAGATAGTTGCCCTTGTCTAACAAGTGGTATCACGAGCACCGGTTTATCTTGTGCTTCGAAATTACTTATTAGATTATGGATCCCAAACCTAAAGGGGCATATAATAGAGAGCTCGTTTTCAATGACGAAAATTATGGTTATTGAAAGGATTGTATGCGTGTCCATATTAATTATATTGATAGGGAAGTATGGAAGGTCATCCAAAATGGTTCTTTTGAAATTACTATGACCAATGCAGATGGTGTTGTTGTACCTAAATCGGAAGTACAATGGACCGCAGATGATGAGAAAAAATGGTCATATGATTGGAAAGCAAGGAATATTCACATATCCTCTTTAGGAGTTGATGAATATGACTGTATTTCACATTGTACTACCACTAAAGCTATGTGGGACTCATTCCAAGTTGCCCATGAGGGCACAAATGAAGTTAAATAAACTAGAATCAATAATTTGAACAAGAGTTTGAACTCTTTCATATGAAGCATGGTGAAACCATTTTCGATATGCAAAAAGGTTCACTGGTCTTGTAAAGCGTTTGAATGCACTTGGTAAGCATGTCTCCAATGAAATTGCTACTAACAAAGTTTTAAGATATCTTAATAGGGAATGGAAACCAAAGGTCATCGTAACCAAGGAATCTAAAAATCTCTTGACATTAATTATTACTAATATGTTTGGAGAGCTTGAAGAAAATGAGCAAGAGCTCATTTGCTTGGAGAAGCATGAGAAAAACCTTAAGAAGGAGAAGAACAAGGAAAAGCAGATAGACAATAAGTCAATTGCTCTTACGGCTTCTAGTTCTAAGTCCTCTACTATAGAGCAAGATGATAATGGAACTAGTGATGGGGAGTGTTCGGATGATGAAGAAATGAAGTTGTTTGTTAAAAGGTACCATAAGTATATGAAGAAAAATGGAGAGAAGCTATCTGACAAGAACCTCATCAACTATAAAAGGCAATCAAATACCTCAAAGCAATATGAGAGTAAGAAGGAAAAATCTAAAGGTCCATGCTATAACTATGGAAGAGCCAGTCATTACAAGCCGAATTGTTCATTTTTTAAGAAGGATAAAGGAAAGGGTCAACAAAAAAAGTCTAGCAAGCCTAAAAGAGCATACATCGCATGGGATAATGATAGTGAATTATCCAAGGCGAGTAGCTCAAGTGAAAGTGATGAAATGGCAAATCTTTTCCTCATGGCCAAGCACAATAGTAAGAATTTAAGTCATTCCAAATCTGAACCTATTGATAAAATTCTTATTTTTATTTACAATTTGCTTTTGAAAATATTATGGTGAAGGTAAAAAAAAAGCTTTTAAGAGACTGTGTTCAAATAAAAGAATAATTTCATACTTAAAAGCCAAGGTTTTAGAAGCGGAAAAACAAATGGAAGCTCTTAAGCAAACCATGTTAGAGGTTCAAAAAGTTAAAATTGAAGATTAGAAGTCTTCTTGGTTTGGTTGTGAAACTTATCACATTTGGAAAAATGAATTTATTACTCTAAAAGCCAAATTGAACAAGGCTTTAGAACCAAAAGTTACCTTCGCTATTGATCCAACAAAATTTAAAAGATCTTTAAACGTACCATACAAAAAGTATAAATTTATTGTAAGGGAATCAAATAGCAAAAGTCACTCTCATCATCACTTGACTTGTCATTATTTTTGCAAGAAAGGTCATACCACTTCTAAATGCAACTTTAGGAGATACTTGGTTCCTAAAGGTGTATTTCAATGGTTGCCTAAGTGCAACAAGGTTTCCACTCACTCTCAAATACCCAATGAAAATTGGGTATCTATCACTCAAGTTTGATAAGGTCAAATTTAGGATTTGTGCAATCAATTGGGTTGAGATTACTTTAGGAGTTTCATTGATAAAATCAATTGGGGGTTTCCCTCCAAGATCAAGTGTGATTTTAAGAGTTTTGGCATAATATATTGCAACTAGGATTCACCCGAGTGAAAATTTTGAAGAAAGGGGTTTGTGTCAAAGAAGTAGCGCAACTAGAGGATCAAATTGAAAATATTTGGACACTCTATCTTGCTTAAGATCAAGGAAAAAGAAGAAGATAGAATCCACATCAAATTTGGAATGTGGGGGTTTGAATTTCTCTTTGTCTCTTGTATTCGACATTTTGCAAAGATTATTGAATATCTCAATTTCGTTTGAAATTATGGGCAAACGTACCATAGTGAGGACAATTGGGAAACTTCCTAAACAAAAACTTATGTTCTCTCTCTCTCTCCGCATGTGTGCGTGCGTGTGTGTGTGTGTGTGTGTGTGTGTTTCATAAGTTATTTATGTACTAAAGTGGAAAAAATTTATGCATTAAAGAAGAAAGTTTTCCACTCTTTTTTTACAATTTGTGAACTCATTTAGTGTGCAAATTTCATATATTGATAATTCGATTGGTGTTGAAATATTTCAAATTGTTTTTAACAAGATAATTGCAATCTATAAAATTGCAATTGGATATTCACATCAACAACACAAAGAAAAAATCAATTTGGTGTTTATTGCACACCAAGTGTTTGACAAATCGTCATAGTCAATTTTTTGTTTCTTAATTCTATTAGAAATTGATTATTCGAGTGTAAAATTGTTTAAACGTTATTTTAAAAAACTTATTGATTTGTTTTTTCATCATTGTGGGACGTTAATTTCATTTCGTTATAGTTTAATATGCATATCTGGTTCTTCCTATAACAATTTTGGATAGACGAGTGTTGATCCGTAACCGTTTTCGCTTGCCATAAAAAATATTTTAAAAACATATTTTTTTAATTAAAGAAAATTTATTTGCGATCTATTCACCCCTCTCTAAATTGTTGTCCTCATCTAACACTTTTCACGACATTCATCTCAAATCTTAAACTGACTTTGATGTTAGAATATTAATCTTTTAAGTCCACCTCGTATCATCGTATTGAAAATAAAAACCACTTATTTAATATCATCAGTTCATCAACTACATTCATTATGATTTTCAAACAGAACAAATTAAAAAAAATTAAAACAATCGGACCTTCACGACTATTGTGGATCGAATATTTTTTTCAAAATTCTTACTTGGGTTGGACCAGCTTTTAGGAAAGCTAAACAATTACACTTTTTTTTTCCTTTCAAAAACCAAAATACCATTAAAAAACCCGTCTTTAATTTAAAACTATATTAAAATAAAAAATAAAAAACTATTAATTTTTGCAAGTGGGATCAAAACATGAGTTCCCTTGTACCATAAGCACATGGAATATGTACAAATAAGTAAAGTGTCTACTTTTTAATGTAAGTTGCAAAACTTAAAAGATATTTCTTACTTAGTGGGGCTCTTACTCTTAGCACTTATTTCCACACAATAATAAACAATAACTTAATGTATACCACTTTGTTTGAGTATTTTCCTATCTTCTTGTTCTTGTCTAGATTTTAATATTGAGAAAGATGAACCATTTAGAGAACCAATTGTAACAAGAATCAACATAGCTGAACCAAAATATGTTCCTCCTTTCACTATGTAGCACTCACCATTCAACCATCCTTTCCCATACAGTTGCTTTCTACTCATACTTGTTGCAGCAATCAATAATATAACTACAATTCCAAAGCTAACCCTGCTAAACATAACCAACTTAATTAACATCTTAATTACCAACTTAATTACCAACTTGTCAAAAGATTGAAATAACCTACCAAGATATAAAATACAGAACCTTTGAAGAAGTAGGTATCTTAAACTTGGAGATACTTTTCCATCTTGAATAAGAATTCTTTACTAATGCATAATTCCCAATGATATGTGCAAAAAATAAACTAACCAATGTTGCAATACTTAGTCCAAATGCTTTACTTGTTGCCATATAACATAGTTTTCCATTCCATCTAAGATCCTCTTCCTACAAAATTAACAAAAATTTTCATTTCAAACAATATTAACACACCAGACACAGATACCAGACACGCTTTCGATTAGAAGAGAATGAGAAGTTAGCTAACCTTATTTCTCTTTATCTCAGCAGCTATACACAAGAAGAATGAAATCAAACCAAAAGAGAGAGAAATGATGATGAGGAAGATTACTGTGAAATTGAATCTAGGAGGAGGAATTTCCATGATGGAGTGGCTTGTTTTGAATGAAGAGACTTGAGAAAAGAGTAAAGAGGATAATACTAATGAATATGTCTTGAAACATACTCAAGGAACAGAATTATGAGATGGTTCTATGAAGGTATTGTTGCCCATCACTTTCTTTCTTCAATTCTTTTCTTTGTGGTGTTTGAAACTTTCTTCCTATTGAGTCTACCATATTGCTTTCAACAAGGGGATATGTTTTACTTGAATGCGAACTTGTTTTGGAAAAATCTTGTTTTTTCTTAGTTTTACTTTTCTCATCAAATGGAGCTCGTCAACATCCCTACTTGCACATCAATAGTCTTTTTCTAGAAAATAGTATCTCAGATATATATACCGACAGATAATCTCCACAATTTATTTTAAAATATAATATATATACCGACAGATAATCTCCACAATTTATTTTAAAATATAATGATTCAGATTCATTCTCATATTTTCATATAATAAATATATATATATATATATATATATATATATATATATATATATATATATATATATATATATATATATATATATATATATATATATATATATATATATATATATATATATATATATATATATATATATATATATATATATATATATATATATATATATATATGATAAAACTTCTACCTGAGTCCAACTCAAGTCATAGTATATAGAATGGTGATGGCTCCACTATAGGTAGATAATTTAACTAATAAGTCAATGAATATATACTCATATTTTATAATCAACACTTAAAAGGATAAAATTGGATTCCTCTCCACTAAAAAGAGCGATTAGTGGCTAGAGAATCATGCTTTGAGTTTCTTAATCATGGTTACTATTTTCTTGAAAAGATGAAACACTTGTAGTGTAAAATAGGTGGATTTTTTAAAACCTCATATTTATAGGAAAAACATAATTTGATAACTCGTAATTTGACTAGAAAAAGTAAAATCAATTAAAATTATTTAATTTAAATTCTGAGTTAAGTTTTATGAAATTATTCGTTTTTAAATAAGATTTATCAATCACTTAATCACGTGTGTGAAACAGAGAAATTGTGAGGAGGAGATTTATTATAAAATGCCACTGGTTCAAAGATAACTTTAGCCTAATAGTCTTTTTTTTGAATGGTCAATTTTGGATAGCCAGCATGCTAATTAGGATAGATAGAGTTTTTGCTTGCATTTTGCATTTTGTTTTTCTCTTTTTTTTCCTCTTTAAAACAGTGGATTCATGAGGTGGAGCACACTATCACATGAGGTCACAAGTATTTGAAAATTGAGATTGAAATATAAATTTTTTATCTTTATTCGCTTAAATATTTTTTTCTTGTAAATTGGCATGTTTTTTATTTTAACTTTTGTATTTTTTTTGTCTGTATTTTTATATTTTACTTTTGTGTTGATTTTAGTCTCTAAAATTAAAATCTGTAAAAAAATTTTTTACAAACTATGACTTTATGGATTAAAAGCAACACAAAAAATAAAATATATAAACTAAAAAAATGCAGGGACCAAAATCAAAAACTTATTAATTTGCATAAACTTACAAACTATTTAAGCCATTTGTATTTTATAAAATAAAATGGTCAATTACAAACAATTTTGAAAAGTAGACAGGATTTTATTTTGTCAGGGGAGGCGTTGACGGGGATAAAAACAAAATTCAAATTAACAAATATTATATTGAATCTAACTTCATTTGATTAAAAGAAGAGTGGAGACATTAAAAAAATCCTTTACAAATTCAGGAAGATATAAATATATTTGTGTATTTGATATACTTTTAAGTGCAAGTAAAAATTCCTATTTATATTTGTGTATTTGATATACTTTTAAGTAAACTTGAATGGGTGGAACGGTAAACAACTTGAGTTTGAAAATTAAAGTCTGGAAGCGATCAGGATAATGGTATTTTGTGAACAAATCAACTAGTTGGTTAAGAGTGTCTATGAAAATAAGATGAAGTTTACCACGGAGAAGATGCTGACGAATGAAGTCACAATCAAATTCAATATGTTTTGTTTGTTCATGGAAAACATCATTGTGGGCAATTTGAATTACACTATAATTGTCATAATAAAGATTTGTTGGAGAAGGTTGAGATGTCTCTAAATCAGCAAGAAACCAACTAAACCATAATATCTCAAATGTTGTATGAACAAGAGCACGATATTCAACTTCAATGCTAGAGCGGATTGTCAACATTTGTTTCTTCCTCCTCCAAGAAATAAGAGAATCTATAAGGAAAATACAAAAACATGTGGTGCATCAATGATCACTAGGATCACCGGCCCAATCGGCATCGGAGTAGGCTCTAAGAATAAATGAGGATGCATATGAGTGGTGCCCTTAATATATCGAATAATTTGGAGGACGTTAGCATAATGAGTGGTACGCGCAGATGCCATGAATTGATTAACCTAATGAATAACATATGATATATTTGATCTAGTAATTGTGAGGGAAATCAAGCTAGTTACGAGTTACCGATAAAGAGAGAAATTGTCAAGCAAAGTACCATCTTGAGAAGTAAATGGAAATTGTGTTCTAAAGGAGTATTTTTCATTTTTACAATATGTGAGACTTGCTTGACAAACAAGATCAGAAGCATACTTAGCTTGTGAGATAAATAAGCCATCACTAGAAGATAATACCTCAAGTCCCAAAAAGTAAATTAATGGTCCAAGATCCTTCATCTCAAAGTGCTCACACAAGAATTTCTTGAGCTCTTCAATTCCAACAAAATCATCATGAACGATAAGCATATCATCAACATAAAGAAGTAAAACAACAATACCATTAATTGTTTTTTCAAGTAAAAAGAGCACAATCATGAAAATTGGAAGATAAATCCAATTAAGTGATAGTATTGTGAAATTTAGCAAACCAAGCTCGAGGTGCTTACTTAAGACCATAAAAAGTCTTACAAATACGAAACACTTTATTTTCTTGGCAGGTATATCCTAGAGGAGGATTCGTATAAACATATTCTTCTAACTCGCCACTCAAAAAGGAATTTTTGACATTCGTTTGCGTGAGTACCCATTTTCAAGTTGTTGTAATGGAAAGAAGAGTTCGAACAGAGTGATGCGTGCAATTGGAGAAAACGTTTATTCGTAATCAATATCATACTCATGAGTGAACCCTTTTGTCACAAGAAGAATTTTCTATTGCTCAATAGATCCATCAGGAAGAGTCTTTATTTTATTTACTCATTTGCATCCTACTAGAGGATTATCAGAAGGAAGTTCAACAAGGTCTCATGTGTGGCTTCCCTCCAATGCTTGTAATTCCTCCCGCATAACTTGCTACCAATATGGATTTGTAGAGGTTGTTGGAATTAATTTAATAATATTTATACAGACATGCTCAATAACAAAGATTAAAATTATACTCTTACTTTAGTGCGAAAACCATATGAGCATATATATAAACTAGGATCTACAACATGTTAATTTATCAAGAATTGATATTAGGAATACCTGGATAAACGAATCATTAACACGACAACTTTATACTTTCCTAAAACACAAAGTAAAGAGAGACTAATGACGAGCATCTGTTGGCTTGTGGTTTTTTCTTAACCATTACTCCTAATGCCTTGAATACTCTTCAGATAAGGAGAAGAAATAAATTGTTTGTGTACGGTATATTGGGGACCATAGCATATATATAGTGTGATGGCCAATTAGGGTTCCCATTATTCTCAAGTACATTCTAACATCCACTCATATTTGAGCTCATATTCAATTAATTAATTAACTAATTACTAAATAGAAATCTAATTAGCCTTTTAAATGTATTTGTCCACTTAATTAATTAAGGCTCTTAATTTAGATAAATAGCTAATATAATTAAAATATATATGCTCATAAAATAATTATTGAAATATAATAATTAAATAATATTTAAATATAAAAAATTTCAACAGAGGTTTCTGATCTCGGCGGCTGATCAGAACCTGAAGTGGGTCAGAGACAAATACCTGCGATGATGGGTGTGAGAGAGAAGAAAGGGGTGTACCTGCAAGGCACTTCAATGCTAAAGTAAGAATCCGAAGAAAGAAGGCAAGTACAGAATATGTGTGTCTTCGGATGATTATTGAATATCTAACCCTTTCAAATGATAGGGCGCTTGGCTATTGGTCCCTATTTTCGGGGCGAGATAGTTGTTTCCTGAAGAATAAGTAACTGCCAGAACTAGTTGTTGAAACGGGCAGAGGTGCCCGTAACTAGCCGTTGCTACGGGCAGAGGCGCGGTTACGGGCACAAGCATCTTGGCTGTTTCTGGATGACGGAACCGTACGTGACGGGCAAGTCTTGTCGAGGAGGGGTGTCAGCCTAGGGGTAAACCGACCAACCTCCCCTGTTAGAGGGGCAGAAAGGTAAGTTCCTTCCCCCACTTACCTGGACTTAGGAAATTGGGTCGTTAGGGGAGCAGAAGTGAATTGGGTCATGCCTAGCCATTGGGCCAGTCCATAATAGTCTCCCCCTAAGTCATTGCTCCCGAGCATGGGAGTGATGACTTAAGGATAGTCAGAATATCGGGCAAGATCGTCGCTAGCCGCAGAGTAGAGGTCATTACCTTGTGCCTACGGGAATTTATGCTCTGACATATATTACGCTACTCGTCGGGGAGCTCGAGGTACGGGGAGACCAATGGTTAATGATATCTGAAGAGGGGAAGTGCCACGTGTGCCTTGAGTTGTGTGCTGCATTTAATGTGTAATGATGGCTAGGCTAGGGTCATGATGATGCCCCTAGCCGCGTGTGCTCGGGCACATGCCAGGAATTTCCTATAAATAGAGCGAGAAGCTGCTCATTTGCACTTTTCACTTCTCTTTCTTCCTTCGTCTTCTGTTCTCTGTTTCTGTCGTCCTCCACCGTCAAGCTCTGTCCGACCACCATACCAGCACCGGCCAGAGCTGTTTGAACCCTGAAAGCTCATCCTCGACCACATAAGTATGTTAATTCCTTGCTTGTTGTATGTTTATAC